AGACTTGGAATATTACTAAAAAGGATATTATGGAAGCTATTTCTGAGTTCTTTTTGGGTAAGCCTCATACTAATTTTTTCTCTTCTACTAACATTGTTTTAATTCCCAAGAAAGAGGCGACCAATAACTAGAATGATTTTAGACCTATTAGTTTATGCTCCGTTTTTAATAAACTTATCTCTAAGATCATTGCTACTAGACTTGTTAATTTTCTTCCCAGAATAATCTCTCAAAATCAAACTGGTTTTGTGAAAGGTAGAAGCATCTTTGATAATGTTTTACTTGCTCAAGAGATGACTCACGATATCAATGTTAAAGTGAAGGGTGAGAATATTATTTTCAAATTGGACATTACTAAGGCTTATGATAACCTTTCTTGAAATTTTTTATACAAAGTTTTATCTCTCTTTGGTTTTAGTCAAACTTTCATTTTATTGATTAAGAACAGTATTAAGCACTGTTTTTTTCTGTTATTATTAATGGTAGAAGTAATGGTTTTTTTTAATTCTAGTCAAGGTTTGCGTCAAGGTGATCATCTTTCCCCTTCTTTATTCATTATTGTGGTTGACTATTTATCTAGGGGTTTGGAGGTTCTCTATAAAAAGTATCCAAATTTTCTCTATCATACGAAGGGTGGTATCCCCATTACTCACCTTAGTTTTGCCGATGATTTTATCATTTTAGCCAATAGTTCTTTGACTAATATTAGATATCTTGTTAACTATTTAAATGAGTTTCAAAATCTGAGTGGGCTTTCTATCAATAAAAATAAAAGTACTTTCATTGTTTCTAAAGCCACTAGCCATGGGAAAATTAATGAGATTAGAAGGATTTCTGAGTTCTGTTGCTCATCTTTTCCTTTCAAGTATTTGGGTACTCCTATTTTCAAGGGGAGGAAGAAAAGTATGTTATTTGAAGAGATGATAACGGTTTTTTAGTATAAAATTTCTAATTGGTCCTCTAATTTTCTCTCTTTTGGTGGGAGACTTGTGCTTATTAAACATGTTTTAAATTCTATCCCGATTTTTATGATTCACACTCTTAATCCGTCGCTTTCTATTTGTCTTAGGTTGGAAAGATTGATCAATAAATTTTTTTGGGGATTTAAGAATGATAAGTCTTGTATTATGTGGTCTTCTTGGAATAAAATGTGCGGTCCTTTCAATGAGGATGATTTAGGTTATAAGAGTTTTTTGGATATGGTTAAGTCTTTTTCTTATAAACTTTGGTTCTCCTTTAGAGCTAAGGTTAGTTTATGGTCTAATTTTATGTTTGCTAAGTATTTCAAAGTGATGCACCCTACTTTATGTACTTTTAAAAAATCTGATTCTTTTGTTTGGAAACGTTTATCTCAGATTAGTTGGGAGGCTGAACCTTTTCTCCAGTGGGGTTTGGGTAAAGGGGAGGTTTATTTTTGGCAAGATAATTGGCTTGGGCCGGGATCTATTGATAGCTTACTATCTTCTCATACTCTGATTTCTACTAAGGTTAGCTATTTTATTACTAATGGCAGCTGGAATGCCAATAGATTAAAAGAAATTCTGCCTTTTGATATTTTGCATCTTGTTTTGAACATTCCTTTGAATGTTAATGATACTGATTGCCTGCTCTTTAACAATTCTACCAATGGTAGATTTAAAATCAAAGAAGTGTGGGAGAGTTTTAGAATTAAAAAGGATGTTTCTAATGTTTATGGTTTTATCTGACATAACAATATTCCTTTATCCTATTCTATTCTTGCTTGGAGGTGCATTAAAGGTTTTCTTACGGTGGATGACCGCCTATATAATAAAGGTTTTTATCTCCCCTCTAAATGCTTTTGTTGTTCTAATATTGAGAGTATTAATCATGGTTTTCTTTTTGGTAATATTGCTCAAAAAGTGTGGGCTTATTATGGTAACATTGTTAATAAACCTATTCCTATTTATAATCCCATATCCATCAATTGTATTCAGGAGTTTTTGGCTGGTTGGATATCCACTAGTAAAGGTCATATTCTTAATCTCGTGCCTATGCTTATCTTATGGTTTATATGGAAAGGTTGTAATGATGCTAAGCATAATGGGATTAAGATGGAGGATAAGAGTATTATTTATAATATAAATCATAAACTGCTACAATTTTCTGTTGTCAAACTGATTTCGAAAAAAAAATTTATTAACTGTGATAGTTTGTGTGTGAGTCTTGGCATTCCTATCCATACTGAAGAGCTTATGAAAAGGGAAAGAATTGTGAGCTGGCTTAAACCGATTCCCCTAATCTGAAACTTAACACTGATGGTTCCGTGGATCTTATTTCGGCTGGGTATGGTGGGATTATTCATGACAATGTTGGTAATGTGATAGTGGCTTATGCGGGCCCTTTATCTCCGTGTAAGGTCATTTTCGCTGAATTTATGGGTTTACTTAAAGGTCTTTACATTTGTAAGAATAGAGGTTTCATTAACATTGAGGTGGAATTGGATGCTCTTAGTTTAATTCAAATTATCAATAATAAGGATGTGTATGTCCCTCACTTATTTTATATTATTAGAAAGATTCGTATGGCTCTCTCTACTTTTACCTACACTATGAATCATGTTCTTAGAGAAGGGAACGTGTGTGCTGACTAGTTAGCTAAAATTGGTAGTAAATTGGATGAGGAGAAAGAGTTTGATTTGGTTAATATTCCTCATATGTTAAAAGGTTTGGTGAACCTGGATAAGATGGGTTTGCCGTATATCAGATCTAAATGACTTTTTCTACCTCTGATTTTTTGTTTGGGCGTCTGTTTTGGCCTCTTGCCTGGGTGTTTCATTATTTTGTTCTTTGCAGCTGTTGTTTTTCTAGGTGGGGTTCTCTTGTGACTGAGGTCTGGGTGATTCATTGGCTTATCATTAGGTTCTAGGTGTTTTATCATTTGGTATTTGGTGATCAGCTTCTATCGTGCTTTTGGCCTGGGTGGTTGCTTCTTTGCAATATTTCTATGTATTTTTGGTGGAGATGTGTTAACTTAGGTTCTGTGATTCTTTATTATCTCAGTTTTGATTTTACTGATAAAGTTTGTTTCTACTGTTGGAAAGTTTTTCTTGATGAGGTTTTTGGTATACTTCATGCTTTCTCGGCTATGTGCTGTTCTCTAAACCCTTTAGGCTGGATTATTCTGGATGGATATGTTGGTGAGAATTTCAGTTTAAGTTATCAAATTAAGATTTACATTTCTAATAGTTTAGTCTATGTTATGTTTAATGTTTATTTTAAGAGAGTTTTTTGCAGGGAGTGTTCTGATTATAAAAGACCCAAGGTAAGTTTTTTTCACTCTAGTTTGCTAGTTTATATATTGTCCTTTTTTGCTTTTAATTTTTGCAGGAAGCTTGTGCTGAACAGGATCTATTTGAGCTTCCTTTTTTGGGTGCTGTTTTCTCTCAGCCCTAGTTCTAATTTAGATATATTTTGTAATTTTAGTAAAATGAACCACTCGCTCGTAGGTTTTATTTCTTTTTATCTTGTAGGTCTTTCGAGCATTAGTGAGCTGGAGGTTCCTTCTAAGGACCTTGTAACCGCTTTTTTTGGAAATTAACATGTAGGCCCCGCCGTGGGTTTAAACTAAAAAATAATAATAATAATATTTTGAGATATAGAATTTTAATTATTTCAGCTAGATTGATCTATATTGATGATTTATATAAACTATAATAAATAATTAAAAAGTTAAAAATAAGCAATTCTTTTACATTTGATTTTGGGGTATTACAATTTTATTGTTATTGTTATCGAGAAATAAAGAGAGTCGTCTAGTTGTTAGGGTAATGTTGACTCTGACACATGCAAGAAGGATGCATGTGACTTATAAAATCTAGTGTACATATAGATATACACTAGTAAAGCTCGATCACTTTAATTTTAGGAGTATTCATGTCATGCACATAGATTACTCTCTCGATGTTGAATCTCAATCTGACCTATCAAAATATCAGATGGGGTGGGTGGAGGTTATGCTTAGTAGTGCTTTAGATTCCCTTCTTGATTGTTTAATTCCATGAATTGAAATTATTGACCTCTGTGATTAAAAAAAAAAAAAGATGAATTGAAAATTTGTTAAAATGATTACTTGCTCGAAGCCCATCCCAAATCCTACAAAATTTTCTTGTATATTCGACACTGAATTATCGCTTCTCACATCTCTTCGAGCAGATCTCGTAGCTCATCCCGATCACATCTTCTGGTCTCGTTAAAATAAGAACAAATCCTTGATTCATTCGCTGTTGTTTCCTCACGCCCTCTGCTTCAACTTCTTCCATGCTTGATTCCACACATCATATCCAGCCCTTTCTCATGATATTCTCACACATTAAGCCTCTGCCTACAACTCCCCTTCGCATGCAATTAAGTACGTAAATCCCCGTTCAAAACTTCACGCAAGCCCAATCACTTTTGATTGAAGCCTTTAGTCTGTTCGGCCCGAACACCGTTGCTCCTCCGATTCCCTTCATATCAACTGACCAATCTACAAACAATCACAATGATTTTTTTGCAAATCCTCAGCAAACAACGATTGTTAATACATAACAAAATGCAAATACTTACTGTACTTAGTGCAACTTGCCCGCATATGACAGTGGAAGATTTGTAATGCATACATCGATTCACATATGATGACTAGTGACCTTTGGATATTTATTAACAATCTACATATGTATTTAATAAAACTTGTAATATACAACTCAACCTGTCTGTGAGCAATGACATCAAATGAGTTTGTGATGCATAAGTTCCTCTACGATCGGAGTTAGTTAATTTACAAATACCCATAGCATTTTTCATGGACACCAATATAAATGCAACCAAATGCATCAGTTTGCCAATTAACATTTATAAAAAGAAATTGATGACGAACACAACAACTTGTTCATCAACAAACAAGTGGAATTGGAAACAAATGTAACTCACCTGAAGATCAGTGTTAATTTATAAATGAACTGTAAATGCAACAAATTTCCCATACAACAAATACCAGTTGTCTTAAGGATGCATACAATATTCCTTATGAACACTGAAATACCTACAAGTAATAACAAAAGACTTGCAGTGCACATAATGGCCTCATCTGCAAGCAGTGTTAAGGAATGCACATTGAACATAAACCACCAACATATAATCGTTGATGTATTTCAAATATCAACTATTTGCTCACAAGTAGTGGATGTGACATGCTTAAAAGAAAAGTGAGAAAATCATGAAGAGGATAGTTTTCTTGCTTTCACTATCGACTAACTTATCAACAAACATATCAACTCGCCTGCAAACAATAAAGCATCCTACAGACATATATGATGTTGTATACAACAAATGCTGACACCTGCCAGCAATGGAATATTTGTTATATGCGTAGTAGTATTCCTATGAATGGTTGACAGTAATAGATAATGGATGCTATTGAATCCTCACAGTCAATGACTATCCAACAGAAGGTCAAACACACCAATCTTCTACAAGCAAAAGAAGGTGGAATATAGCAAATGCAAGTATCTACAAGTCATTGTAGGAGACTCATTAGGTGTACAATATGCTATCTACAAGAGAGAATGTAAAAGGATTATAACAAACATAAAAGAATTGTAGCCAAATACATGGAGGCTTTAGTAAGTATTTCACCTATGAAAAATGATGGCTAATGTGTAATATTCATATCAGTCTCGCAAGCAAAAATACAAGCCTTTGATAAATGTTGAAAGTTGGTGCACAAGTAAATAAAGCAACTTACCGATCAGAAAGCATGGGAGAATCATGATATATGCAGCACATCATGTATAATCCAAAGTAATAAGATGTGGTGAATGTAGATACCTATGAACAGTGGTAGAAGACCCGCTATACACTTAACATGTCATCTACAAGAAGGATATGAGGGAACTATAGCAGATAACAACATCTACTAGTGACTGCAAAAGGTTCGTTAGTGGACGATAGCCTACCTGCCTAAATCAGTAGAAAAAAAACTCAACTTGTAACATAATGCCACACCACTGGATCCCCAACATGTATACAAATGGATATAAGGCGTATATGAGCTTCCAAATAAAAAGCTGCATTCAAACTATGGGTTACCCGCACAACTGAGCATTATTAAATATTCAAAATACTCCCTAAATACTTGTATGGGTCTCAATGAGCATATTGTAGGTACACGTGACATCTAAGGATGTTATGCGAGTCAAAAAATAAAGTTAAGTTCAATTCTGATCCTTCTCTTTGGTAGGACGGGAGTTGACACACCTTGAACCAATGAACAAATCTCTACAAAAAAATTGGCCATTACCAATGGTTTAAATGTATTTTCTGGTGGTTTGGAAAATTTTTGGCAGTTTCTAAACTACTAGAATAAACCACATAGGAAATGCAAAATGGCTGCCTATTTATGGTGGCAACATTTTCTGGTGATTTTTCGATTGCTCAAATTGCTAAAAATTAATTAACCCAAAATTGAAGGTAAATCGCCCTAAAATTCTAGCACAAAAAATCACCACTGACCGTCAGTTTATTATTGACGATAAAAATCACTGATATTGTCATCGGCAAAACTGTCGGTTAGCCACTGGTTATTACCAGCGGCTAAACAATAATACCAAAAAAAACTTAAAGTCATCTGGTATCAATGTTTCTGGCAGATAAATTGCTAGTTAGCGACCGAAAACTTGTAGCAATTGCAAAAAAATGACAGTCCCTCTATCCAAAGAAATTTTCATAATTACCTGTACACAGTTCAAAACATATATAAAACACTTTTGACCATATACTCAGACAGTTCAAAATGTAATATATGAAATACTCTGACATCCACATTCAAACATGACAGTTCTTCAAACAAATAAATAATGTTTATATGTTCTAAATAATAACAAATAATTCTTCAAACAAATAATAATGCATATGTTTCATAATCAACATAATATATGAAATCCACAATGCATATATTCCAAATACACCAAATATTTCTTCAAATAAATAACAACAAATAACAACAACAATAATCATCGTCTGTGTCCTTGCTGTCCTCTGATTTAGGTATAGGCATTTTCTCCTTTTTATTCTAATTTTCATCTCGATATGATCGTAGCTCCACATGCATCTCAACTTAAATCTTTCTCATCTCCGTTATCTCTCTTATTAAGGGACCAACCCTCTAAATAACAATTTTTTCAACTCCACTAATATCATAAAATATTAAAGTATATATACTGCCCTCATAAGCATATCTCTGCAAACCTAAGCCATAAACCCTCTCGCTCTGCCTTCCTCCAATAACATCTTACCATGTGTGATACTTAGAATATGAGGTTGATTTTGAATATGATCCCTCACCAGTAGAATGTTGACTTTTGACTTTCCCGCAGTTGTATAAAATTATCCTGCGAGAATAAATTCATAAAATAAAATAAGCCATGCAAAGAAATTAGGAAGAAGGGAGGGGGGTACAATTTTAGGGCCCTTTTAGCAGTTTTCTAACAGTTTTAATTGCAAAAAACATTTTACTTAAAAATGGAAGCTAAACCGCTAGTAAAAGTCATCACAAAAAGAGAATATAGGCGTTATTTTTTATGGTTAGTTGAGCGCCGAAAGTTTCGATAGTTTTGTGTTTGGTACTGGCAGTTTAGCGGCAGTCAAATCACTGATTTAACCACTCATATTCAGTGAATTTTTTGTAGTAAATATATAGTCGCGACATCGACTGCACTATTTATTTTATAGTTCATATTATACCTTCAAGACCTATGAATAATACAAATTCATTAATAAAAGCATACAGCCGAAAATAAACATGATTATTTGTCAACAAATCAATAAGGTTCAATTCATGAATAAAATAGCCTATAAATATGCTGATAATGGCCGTATTGAATGTTTATCAAAATCGAAGAGAACCACAAACACTTAAAAATACTTCTCAAATACCCAAGAAATCTAAAAAATATTTAAAATCAAAATTCAACCATTAAAATGATTAAAGAAAAATTCATCCACCCTCCGTAATAATTTACCGATGTGACAAATTTAAAATTACGTCAGCTCACTAAAATTAAGCTAATGTCTGATCGAGAATATCACTAGGATTCATTCTCAAACAGTCTCTTACCCGCAAGGATGTAGCACGTGCCCTCTAACTGATGATTTTGCTGCTAAATGACACCACGGGTAAATGGTTATGGTCATGACCCTCTGAACTGGGTGATTTTCAATGAAATGACACCACTTAATTATGAACATGACCAAAGCTCGCATTCTCCCTAATGGCACTAAATCCCTGAGAAATAGTCAATAGGATATAATTGATAGGGCATAAAGCCCTTCGTTAGCTAAGATGAATTCAAATTTGACCTTCTAGATAAACTTCCACCCTAGGTCTATAGGGAGCCCTAGGTTGATGCAACTTATGGTTGCTGACAAGAATCTTACTGTTAGATTGGTTCATTTACTCCTCTGACTAAGTAGACCAGTGATCATGATGGTTCGGGACGATGAAATCATGAGATCTTGATTGGGTTCATCATCCATTCCCCCATCATCCATTTTTAAGAATTCGGTGGTGAAATGTTTAATTTTAAATATCAAATTTTCAAACACCTAAACCCATGCTACTATGCCAGATAACACATATCTTTACGACTAGCCTTAATCGAAAGTTCTCTCTCGTTATCGGGAGGGGTAACTAACTACAGGGACTTACGCCTATATAAAACCAAAACTCAGATCTAAAGTCCTCGCAAAATGAGGGAGAAATCTCTGGATATTGTCTTATCTACAAACCCAATCTGCCTTCTGAAAATTTACCCTAGGACTTCATTGGTTAAAACTCTCCTGAGGAAAGCAGAGGAGAGGCCGGGGTGCGAATTTTCAGAGCCTTCAACAACATAAATTCATGATAGCCTTCATGAAAAGGGCCCCAGCCCTCTCGAGGATGATGATCAGGATGAAGATGATGAGTGATCATTCCATTAAAAAGAAGATGTTTGTTTTATTAACTTCCATAAACAACAAATTTTATAGCATTACATGCTGTCCATTTCATGCACTAAAATGATTATAATGTATGAATCCCTTTTTTTCAGAATTTGTTGATCTTATTTTGTTAGTAATTTTTCCCAACTTGTTTTTGTTGATGTTGTGATTGATGCGATTGATATTGTGATATGATACGTTACTGATATTATAATAAGTTGTAATTACATGTGTGTAAAATTTAAAAAAATTTCTCTTAGTTTTTTTTTTTTTTTTTTTGACGGTTTTGCGACATAGTTGAAATGAATGTACAGAATTATGATTGATTTGTTATCAGATTGATCAATTTTACAACATCTGCAAGATTTAAAAAAAAAAACAAAAAAGGGTAACGAATTAGCTTTGTGACAGACTTGAAATGACAAACCGTTTGCAACAAGAATTTTAAATATATGTAATATATATTTGTTGCAATTAATTTAAGTTGTTTTGCAATGGAAATCAACGGTCAAAAATCCAACAAAAAATGCTGTGGTGTGTGTACATATATATATTTGTAAAATATGAACTTCTCAGATAGCTATTTTTGAGTTTATGATGAAAGTAAACTGAGAGTAAAAAAAAATTTAGTACATTTGAAATATGCCAAAAGCTTCGCTTTCACTACAAAGCCAATCTGATATATTTAGCCCATATATATATATATAATATATATATATATATATATATTATATATATATATATAACCAAAATGAATGAATTAATCTCCAAATATTTACTTTGCACAAATAAAAAAAATAAAAAAAAAAAAAAAAAAAAAAAAACGTGAAGACACATAGCCAATAAAATTAAGTTAATCTAATATTCCAAATACATTCATTCGATTACATACAGCTAAAACATCCAAACCTCAGTAATTAAAAAAAAAAAAAAATCTACTTCACTCACCTTATAGCCATGAAAATAAGTTTAATTATTTTCCAAACACCAAGATATTCAAGGGAAATTATGATCAATATCATTAGAAGGATCACCTGATCCATCATGCTGCCCAAGATCCATATCTTGCAACTCCAATTCATTTCCATCCATTTGATTAGCTGTAGACTGCTATCTCGATTCATTATCGGCTGCCGGATCCCGTCAAGAGTGAAGATTATGGGTTCCAAAGCAGAGAGTAGGTTGATTCTAGAGGGTGAAGAGAGGCCTTGGGGAGACGGCGGGGAGGACTATGACCAATGTAGTAATCGCCATTAATGGAAGGATGATGAGGAAGTGGAGGGTAAGATGAGGAAGGGTAGATGCATGGATGGAGGGTAGGTGTGGCAGTGGTTTGCCATTGGTAGACGAGGATATAACGGTCGGAATTGAAGGCATGGATCGTTGATGATGTTGCGAGTAGCAGTGGAGGGCAAGGTAAGTGATTGATACGGTGTTGATGATTCCAAAGTGCAATTAATGTCTCTTAACCTGAAATTCAGTGATTATTATTTATGTTTTTTTTTTTTTGGGAAAAATTTACAAGAGGGACAATATGAGTAGTTTGCTCTTGTTATTCATGATGATCAGTTTTCAATAGGTAAGCAGAGTGGTTATAATACATGTTAGATAATAATTCGTTAAATGAAAATAAAAATTACAAAAGAATTAAAAGATAACTACCATTGAAGACAGAGAAGCAACCTATGAACCCCTCATAGGAAGATCAAAATCGACATAATTCATGATTAAATAGCATGTTTAAGTGATATATATATATATATATATATATATATATTATATTAAGATGAGTGCATTAACTGAGTAATAAATTAAAATTTCTATTTAATTCAACTTTAAAGTATATCTCATGTATGCCTCATTAGAATCCAAAATTTTGATCACAAAATCTTTACTTGATTTTTTTCCACATATATATGAAAATTTTATTATAAAAATTTGGGTGTAAATATCATGATCCAATTGTTTAAAAATGTGGTTCAAAAATTAACACATGAGATGAAATATATTCTAATGTAATGTGTAGATGCCTGATATAAAATATATAAAAAGAATATATTATATATTCATTTTACTATTTTTTCTAGATTTCATAGTAATTAAAAAAATTCATAAATTTATATTTTGTTTGTAAAATTACTGTATATATTGAGAGAATATCTATTTTATCTTTTATAATAATTATTATGCTGATTATATATAAATATTTTTTTATTTTATCATAAATTTTATAATGAATATTATCAATATTCTTGTATTACCTACAAATCCAAATAACATAATTTCATGTTGTTTAAATATAAAGAAATGTAATGCAGCAATTTTTATTCTTACCGAAATTTTTTTCCATCTTTATTAAAAAAAAAACAATAACAATGAATAAAAATAGAAAAATCTGTTTATAATCACATGAGAATTTTTTTCTCCATGCCATTACATCGTTGATAAAAACTGAACCTTTTTTTCTCTAAAATAAAAGTTAATTAAATATAAATAGAAACTTACCCTAAGTGAACTCCTGCAGAGAGACCTTCGTTGCTGTACACAAGTTGACGAGCTCGGTTGAGTGTTTCTGTCTCCCGCTCTGAAAAATATTCATAACAAAATAGGAAAAGAAAAAAAAAAAAACATAATAAAATGCAAATACAGATACAGAGGGAGGTGGCCAACAAGAAGAAATTAGTAAACTTGCCCTGTCTATGCCGGTTCATATGGCCACCCAAAGCTTGTGATTTACAGAACTTTAGCGAGCAAAACCGGCACTCATAAATCTTCCCACTCTCATCCTTGCCTCCATTTTTTTTCTTCTTGAACCCTGCAACAATTTTTTGTTAATTTTTTGGCTTTCCACTTTAGTAAGAGATATATAAACCCCAAAACCCTTAAAATGAAAAAAAATAGTAGTCAACAACATTCATAGTACTGAGAAGAGAACAAAATGAAGAACAAGTTTAAATACTTCTTACCCCTTTTTTAATATGCACAACAGCTACAACTTTTGATATATATATCTCATTAATTCAACAACATATGCAATAAATATTTTTACTACTATGTGAACTAATTACTAATGGTTTTTTTTTTTTTTTTTTGTCTTACTAGCAGTTTCAGTGGAGGCTGCGGTGGTGGTGGAGCTCTCTTCCACAGCTTGCTTGCCGTACTCTTCGGGTAAGTTATTGAGGTCGAGCGGGCTCTCTTCCGGCCTCCTTAAAAAAATTTAAAAAAGTCATTACACCGTTGAAAACTCTATCTTTGAGGAAAATAGCAAAGAAGTTGGTTTAGGGCATCTTTACATGATATGAGAGAGCAGACAAAGAAACCTAAACGGAGAGGAGAGAGGCTTTGTTAGGGATGGGAGAAAGCTTGAGGGAGATCAAAAGGTGAGACTGGAGTTTGGGCCTGAATCGTGTGTGGACGCCTGTTTTGAAGCGAGAGAGAGAGAGAGAGAGGGTTGAAAGATCTCTATTAGTTGTGTCTGTACAGCCGTAGCTTTCTCTCTCCTACTTTCTCCGACTTTCTCCTTTCTCACCTCACCTTCTCTCTCTCTCTCTCTCTCTCTCTCTCTCTCTCTCTGGTCTATCGCTCTTACACTTCCTAAATGGCTTGGTTAGGGCAAAGAGGCCTTGGTTTCCGTGACTGTTAGAGGACGGGGGGCTTTGGGGGAGTAGGAGCGGTGTTTTTTGCCTTTGTTTGGTTGGGAAGAGAGAGAGAGAGTATGAGAGGGACGTGGCCTTGCTTTCCCCTACAAACCCTACAAACCCTATCCTATACTCCCACTCATAATGATGCCTTCGGTCTCACCTCAGATGAGAGAGATTGGATTAGTTGTTCTAATTTTGACTCACAGTTTGCTCAAACATATTAAAGCCCAATTTTAAGTTGGATCGCAATCATTTAGCTTTCAATTTTTTTTTTAAAGGTAGACTATTTGATTTAGAACTAGCTTGAAATTTGTCTCATAAATTAATCGAGTAAAATTCAGCTTGCAGTTTACTTTACTAATGTTGTGCTAATATAATAAAAATATGAATATATATATTTTGATCATTCATCATAAATACATGAAATGAGCATGAATAGATGATGGAATAGGAGCCGTTGGATGTGAATGGAGCATGGTTGGCAACACAAATGGAGATTATGTTGTTTGTGGGGCCATGTAGCGGGTAATGTAGCGTTTGTGGGGACGCCACAGGGTCCAAGCCATGGAGGGCAATAAAGACAAGGGCGCCTCTTACAAAGTGCTGCCCGGGTATTTAGTTAAGAAGGGTATGCTAAGCCACTAGTGTGGAAGAAGCCTATATGATGAGGGCCATCACAAAGTACCTTTGCTGTCTTTTGATGCTCATGGAGCTCATGGAACTGTTGTTTTCAAACGCGCAAACAATAGAGAGAGAAGCAGTAGAAATATTTATCTTTTGAACTCTATTTTTCTGCATAAAGTGGAAGCCATTTATTGTTGAGGAGTACTGTGTGTGAATAGTGTATGAATAATCCATGCATTTGAAGCTTGGTAAACAGTAGTTCAATTGAATTCGTAACCTAGGACAGAAAAGATAGAAAGTTGAGGGTGGTGGATAGCTAGTTCATTTGTCCTATGTTTTTTGTCTGGCTTGAGCAAGAAATCCTGCTGGGTAGTGTAAATAATGGCATGGAGACCACCATTGAAGTGGAGATTAGCTTCCTAGAAAGTTGCAAAATTTTGGATATAAAGAGCTGTTTTAATTGGTATGGAACATGAAGAAGAGTAATGAAAGAATCGAGTAGAATGGTCATACAAATGATGAAGACTTTTCTTCTTTTTGTGTTAACTTAGTTAACTCTTACACTAGGGGGAAAACCAATCAATAAATTCTGAAGAAAATCTTTCTTAGGCTGTGTTTTAAGAAAGCTCTTAAGGATTTGCATTAAAAAAATATAATATTGTAAGGCAATATATTTTACTGTATGCGTTGTTTATTATCTTGTAAAATTGAAAGCGATGTCTTGTAAAATTTTCTGAAGTGTAATTGGATAATTGTGAGATGCCAAGATTTAGGAGGTGGTGGTGGGAATGTTTTACCTTTTTGACAGGATAAACTTTTTTTAAGAGAAACTTATATAAGAGAGTATCTGATAACAATGTGATTTCAAGTACTGTATAAATAAAAGACCCTTAAATAGGAAAACAAGTGAGCTTCAAAAACAGCCTCCTAGTAAGAAATTCCCATGAAATAGAAGAAAAAAAAGTGATTAACAAGGAGGCTAAAGAATAGAAGGAAGAAATGGAAGATGAAGGAACTTGCAAAGAAAGGCTTCTCTTAAACATCCTGAAAATTAAATCTGTTTTTTTCAAATGGGAAAGTTCACCCTTGGTGAGTTTCATCTCCTTCAACATGTGTGGTCTATAAAGTTTTAGAAAATTCCACAGAATCAAATTAATTCTAAATATTAGAAATTTTAAGAACAACAACTTTGGTGCTTAGCTAATTCTATAATATCTTTAATCATCTTATTTTAAATATGTAATTTTAGAGAAATTAAATTATCTTCTTAGTGCTTATTAATTTAAAATTTTATTTCAGCACATTAATTATTAACTTTCTAATTTACATATTTTTATTCAAAACGCCTTCGTAAATTTGCCAACGAGTTATTTTTGTTCCTTCCTTTTCTGTAGAAATTATATTTAAGATAAGTACCTGATAGCCTGAGAAATATTTGAACAGTCATTTAAGAAATAGACGTTCAGTATTAGTGCTACAAATAATGCTCGATAAATAATACTGTATGCTCACATTTACTAGACTAAATTAAATTATTTCTATTTTACTTTTGAAAGTTGTAACTCTTCCTCTAAAAAGAAGCAGATTTAGATTATTAAAGATAATAGTTTTATATATTGCCTGCTGAAAAAAGCACTTTTAAATTATTTATATTTTCTCATATATATCACTTACAGAAATTAAAAAAAAATTCCTGCACTTTTTATACTGTCTGAGTAATTGATGTCTATTTCTTGTTTGAGATAGGAAAACGCTTGAGATAGATTTTTCTCCCAACTCAAACAGATAAACAATTTCGAACTTATATTGAAAAATAATTCAAAGTGCGAGAGTGGAGGAGCATTAACAACCAACAACTAGGCGTCTAATTAAAGAGCACTGTGAGGAAAATCTTCAGGAAGAAACATTACAATAAGAACAAAATTATATAGCGGGAATATCAAAATGAGCATGATAAAGAGTGGACGATTATTGTTGAACTAGCCAAAAGCTTAATCGATTCCAACCGCAGATAATGGCCTTTTGTAACACAATAATGGATAGCTATAATTTTTTAGTTTTTCCACAAAATTAATGACCCATTGATGCTCAGTCGTCACTATAATAAAGTTTAAGGTTTTGTAATGATATATATATGCCGCCACTAATGTTATTAAACATCCTAAAAACATAGCCTTTATTTGAGATGGCTTTCTTATTGTTTATAATGCAGCTTCTTAGTTAACAAATTAAAAGGTGCTTTAGAAGCAGTAAGAAAGTGTTGGAATTATTTCAAACCAAGCGTTGCATCGTTTAGCCTTAATTTTATTTTATTTTTATTTCTAGTTTCGGACAGTTATTAAAACTGATTTGCTATGTGTTTTTAAAGTATTCCCGTGAAAGTGATAGGTAGGTGCTCTCCGTTTTTTGTTCTCTGTGAAAGACAAGTTATTTTGCTCTGATTTGGTTTAGTGAAGAAAAGCTTTGGTTTTTTGAGGTTTTCTTCTCCAATTTTAATTCTTTGTTCTTTTCTGCTTCCATCATTGGTATCAAAGCCCGGTTGGAGAATGGCAGCGAGTTCAAGCAACAATAATTTGCAATCTCAGTTGCCCAAGTTCACGGGGAAGAACTACAATCAATGGAGTATTCAAATGTGGGTGTTGTATCAATCTCAAGAGTTGTGGGAGATTGTAGAGAAGGGTTTTCAGGAGCCCGAAGTTTAGAGAGATTTGAATCAGAGACTTCTTCAAGAGTTGAAAGAAAATCGGAAGTAGGATCAGAAGGCTCTTTTCTTCGTCTATCAAGCGGTAGATGAAATTATTTTTGAGCGGAAGGAGGCTTGGGATACACTACATGCTTCTTACAAAGGATATGAGAAAGTGAAAATGGTACGTTTACAAACCCTACGAAGCCAATTTGTTGATATGTTGAAGATGAAAAAGTCAGAAAGTGTGGAAGAATATTTCAATCGGGTAATCACCATTGTTAACCAATTGAAGTTGAATGAAAAACTTGTAGAAGATAAAAGAGTTATTGAGAAGATTTTATGAAGCTTGGCCAGAAAATTTGAAGCCATAGTGGTAGCCATAGAAGAAGCAAAGAACATAGAGCAAATGTCTATTGAAGGTTTGCTTGGATCTCTACAATCCCATGAATTAAGAATGAAGCAATATGATTCGACACCACTTGAGGAAGTATTCAAAACTCAAGTGGCATGCATTGCGTGGGAACTTCAAAGGTGGTCATGGAAGAGGTTTTGGTAGAGGAAGAGGCTCTTATGGTACTCATGGAAGAGGCCGTGCTGGTAGAGGAGAATCTACACAAAGTGATGGAGGTGAAGTTTAAGGTGGAACTCATGGTGATGTAGAAGGTGCACGTGGTCGTGGACATGGTTTCAAAGGAAGAGGAAGAAGCAACCTTGCCAATATCAAATATCATTTTTGCAAAAGGTATGGGCACACTTATCATTTTTGTTGGAAGAGACAGGAGAGTGAAGAGGCAAATGCAGATTTGGTCAAGAAAAGGAAGTGGAGAAAAATGAAGACACAGTGTTTCTTACACATTGCAAGGAGTTTGATGATTCAGGAGTTGTTTGGTTTATTGATAGTGGTTGTAGTAATCACATGACTGGCAATAGAAGATTGTTTGTTACCTTGGATAACTCAATCCAAAGTGAAGTACGTACGGGAGATGACAATAAATTATTTGTGGAAGGAAAGGTGACATTTTGGTGAAAACAAGGAATGGAGAAAAGAAGATATCAGATGTCTTCTATGTTCCAAATCTTAAGCATAATTTTCTTAGTTTTGGGCAACTAAATCAAAAGGGATATGTGTTGACATTTTCTTTTGACACTTGTACCATTAAAAACAAGCATGGATTCTTGATTGCTAAGGTGAAGGTGACTCCAAATAAAATGTATCCCATGAAGATGATTGCAGTTTAAATGGTTGTTTAAAAACTTCCATAGAAAATCATTCAAGATTAAGGCATTGTAGATTTGGTCATTTAAGTTCCAAGACACTTTCTTATATGAGCCAGAAGAATATAGTTGATGGGCTTCCACATATTGAAGTTCAAGATAAGATTTGTGAAGCATGTGTTGCAGGAAAGCAGAGCAGAGCACCATTTTCAGCTGGAAAATCATGGAGAGCCTTGAAGCCATTGGAGCTTATTCATTCAAATTTGTGTGGATCGATGCACACTACTTCTATTAGAGGTAATTATTATTTTCTCACATTTATTGATGATTATAGCAGAAAAGTTTGGGTGTATTTTCTAAAAGAAAAGTCACAAGTATTTGAATATCTAAAAATATTCAAAGCACTTGTGGAGAAGGAGAGTGGCCATTTCATTAAGATGTTGAGTGATTGAGGTGGAGAATATGTTAGTCATGATATGCAAAATTATTTGAAGGAGAATGAGATACGCCATCAGTTAACAACTAGATACCACAACAAAATGGGGTAGCTGAGAGGTTGAATAGAACCATTATGGGATTGGTTAGGAGTACGTTGAAGGAGAGGAGAGTCCCCAATCTATTTTTGGCAGAAGCTGTGTCTTGTGTTATTTATTTGTTGAATAGAGCAACATCAAAAAACAATCCATCTCAAACCCCTTTTGAAATTTGGAGTGGCCATAAGCCTATTGTTGATCACTTGAGAGTTTTTGGGAGTATTTCTTATGTTCATGTACCTGTTCAAAAAAGAAGAAAGTTAGATGAAAAATCTGAAAAGTGCGTGTTTGTAGTATATAGTGAAAGGTCAAAAGCCTATAAACTGTATAATCCTATAACAAAGAAAGTGGTAGTGAGCAGGGATATGAGATTTGAGGAGAGCATATCTTGGGATTGGCTTGAAAATGGCAACGAGGAGGATGTCACAATTGGGGAAAATTTAGAAAAAATTATTGATGATGTAGAGCAACAAAGACCACCACACACTATAGTGAGATCGATTGGGAGAATCATCTAGTAGTGGTATTGAAAAGGTGAAGACTAGAAGCCTGTAGGAGATATATGACACCACAAATTACAATGAAGAGTTATCTCAATTTTCTTTATATGTAGATGAAGAGCCATTAACTTTTAATGAAGCAGTTGCAGATAAGAGCTG